GAGGAGGGGGAGGAGAGAGAGAGACGCCGAGACAAACTCTGCCATGGTAGACAGAGAGATATATGGAGGGGGGGGGGGCAAGGACGACGACGGTACGATGCATTGCTGCAGTACTACTCCGCTCCACTCCGCCCATGCCATCGGAGACCAGGCAGCTCAGGTAGCTCGTGTGAATGCACCCCCCTCCCCCCCTCCAGCCACCCCACACCCACACCTGTGCGCTCCCTCCTCCCCCACACCTCAGCTCTCCGGCTGGCCCTGGACAGAACTGTCCTCTAACCCTTCGCGGTCGCCGGACAGGGCTCAAAAGGGACTTCTCCAGGTTCACACGCCCCAGAGAACAGAGACCGTTGCTTGGCTTTTGCTCCGCGAGCGCGCTTAGGCGGCCCCGTTGTGTGCGTTTTCTAACGCTCTACCTCGCGCTCTACTTACTTGATCAAGCGGGGACCGTGTGGGAGTTCCCTCCTCTCCTGTTGAGAATTCCGACAGCCTAGAGCTGGAGCGTCCTCGGTGAGGCGCGATCAGAACGTCACTGTGGGCATGGCTAGGAGACTACGTGCATGGGCTGCCATGGGCGAGGGCGATCTATGGCGCACCACGATGAGTCACTGGCCAGCCGAGCGCTGCCGTCTGAAATGACTCATACACTCATGCCCGCCAAGAAACTGCAATCAGGCAACCAAATAAAACCAGAAACAAGGAGGAAAGAAAACACAAAAATAATTTTGTGTGAATACTGGTACTCGTTCTTTACAGAGACCCTTTCAGTGCTCAGTTGCTTTACATCTATATGGTTGTAGAATCAACGAGTGTTGTTCTGTCAACATGTGTCACGTTTCCTGAGAATATATATTATTATTAAACATGTACCATATGAAACTGGATAAAGACGAAATTAAAAAGAAGGCTAAAAAAGGCGCTATTCTCGGTATTCCCTTCAGGTCACAAGACAAGAGCATTGTTGCAAAAGTCGGCGCTTTCAAAAAGATGCGCGTTCCGTGAAAACCAAAATGAATATGAATCTACAGTTGGCGGCACAATAGCAGAAGCAACATCGGCAGACGGGACTTAGACTGAAAACTTCTGAAATCTGTTAAGAGTTCTCAAAATTTTGCTATTAGACCGAAACAATCTTCATTGCTTCCAGTAATACTAGCAAACGAAGTTTCGAATGGTAGTATTGTCATGTCTGTATGCGCTTCGTGTTCCAAGATGAAGATTTGTTGTGCGGCACGGGTCTATCGACTTAGAACGAAAACCGGCGAATTTTGTTAAGAGTTCTCAAAAAAGTAGTGTCAAACTTGAAAAAAGGTCCATTGTTGGTCACGCCTACAACATTCCCAGTTTCGAATGGTACAAGTATCATAAGTGTACATATTCTGTACTCCGAGCATGAATAGCGTTACGCGTGACATCGCACTGAGATCAATACTCGTTCTTCTACCACTGAGTAGGTGCAGGTAGTGGTAAAGAACGAGTAAAAAAATTACCCCTTCAAAGTGTATGTTGTTTTGCGATGTTGCAGAATGTGACCTGCTCCTAATTGTAGTATGCCGAAGCGTACTTTTAGAAAGCCCTTGAGAAAGCCAGCAGCACCGTATGATAGTCTTTTGAAAATTCCGCGCCAACGTTGTTCTGGAAATGGGTATATACAGCTCTATTTACACTGCGCTCCCCTATTCGCAGAACACGTAGCTGCTGCTACTACTGCTGCTGCTGCTCGATCAACAACACTCAAACGCAACAACTGTAATTCCAATTTAATTTTAGAGTGACAGGAAACAAAAAATGACAGAAGAAGTTAAAGATATTGTGGAGGACGTTGAGGAGGCTGAAAATGACAGCGAGCCAGTCACCTTCCAAGATTTGGTAAATTTCAGCAATTTTGTCTCGCTTTTGGGTCGTGTTCCTTGGTCTTGGACCATGCTTTATGAAACAGCCGCAACCTATATGATGTCATTTTACTGTTTACTTTAATTATTCGTCATAAATTTCACCTCAGATAAAATTTTAAGTTGCATAGTACCTGTGCATTTGAAACAGACTTGTAGATCCGTCTATGGTTCGGTTTGTTAAGCCTGAAATATTTTCCTAACCTACGTTATTAGGTTAGACAGTGTATGTGCATTTGTGTGTCAATCCGTGTGTCTTATTTTGTAAATTACTTTCAGGGAGTAACCGATGTGTTGTGCAAAGCCTGTGAGCAGCTTAAGTGGAAAACACCCTCCAAGATCCAAAGAGAAGCTATTCCAGTGGCCCTTCAAGGTTTGTACCGTTCCCTGCTAAATGTATCAGTACCATAGTTTTATTAAATTTTTGATTTCATGGCTTTAGTTGGTTTTATGCAATTATTGTTTAATTCCAGGTAAAGATGTTATTGGATTGGCTGAGACTGGGTCAGGCAAAACCGGAGCGTTTGCAATCCCCATTCTTCAAGCATTATTATCCAATCCTCAGCGATATTTTGCGTTAATTTTGACACCTACAAGAGAACTGGCATTCCAAATCTCCGAACAGTTTGAGGCATTAGGTTAGTTCTGACATGTCAATCTGTTCAAACACTGCAGTCGTATTTCCTCATCATGCTGTTCTTGTCTGTTGTAGGTGCCAGTATTGGTGTGAAATGTGCTGTTATTGTGGGTGGTATGGATATGATGTCACAAGCTTTAATGCTAGCCAAGAAGCCTCATATTTTGATAGCAACCCCTGGACGTTTAGTCGACCATTTAGAGAATACAAAAGGTTTCAATTTAAGAGCATTGAAGTTTCTGGTATGTTAGCTTAATGAGGTGTCTACTCAAGCATGTTTTGTTACATCAGCCTTAAGTTTTCCCCTTTTTTCATTACTTGACAGGTTATGGATGAGGCTGACAGAATTCTCAATATGGACTTTGAAGTAGAGGTTGATAAAATTTTAAAGGTCATTCCTCGGGAGAGGAGGACCTTTTTGTTCAGCGCCACAATGACTAAAAAAGTTCAAAAGCTGCAGCGAGCCTCATTACAGGATCCAGTTAAGGTTGAAGTATCAACAAAATACCAAACAGTAGACAAACTGCAGCAATCTTATATATTCATCCCAGCTAAATACAAGGTATATTATGTTCTACTCTATGAAAATGCCAGTATTTCATTGTTTACTATTTCTGACTTTGTCTCAATTTTTTATCAGGATGTTTATCTTGTACATATTTTAAATGAGATGGCCGGCAATTCTTTCATGATATTTTGTGCAACATGCAGTAACACAATGCGTACTGCTCTTCTTCTCCGAAGCCTGGGTTTAATGGCTGTACCATTGCATGGTCAGATGTCTCAGAATAAACGACTTGCAGCTTTGACAAAGTTCCGTGCTAAGAACAGATCCATTCTTATAAGCACGGATGTTGCAAGTAGAGGTTTGGATATTCCACATGTAGATGCTGTTGTAAATTTTGATATTCCGATGCATAGCAAGGATTATGTTCATAGAGTAGGAAGAACTGCTAGAGCAGGCCGTGCTGGTAAAGCCATCACTTTTGTTACTCAAGTAAGTAATATTTATTAATTATTTTTTAACAACCTAACACTATTTTAAATTAATGTGTAAATTATGATTTGTCATTTTAGTACGATGTTGAGCTCTACCAACGTATTGAGCATCTTATTGGCAAGCAATTGCCCATATACCCTACTGAGGAAGAGGAAGTTATGGTATTGCAAGAAAGAGTGGCAGAAGCTCAGAGAGTCGCTAAACTTGTAAGTTCTCATTTTATCTTTCAGTAGCTACGCACTTTTGACAATCTATTTAACTTTTGTAATTTTTTGGTTGATATAGGAATTAAAGGATCTAGAAGAAAAGAAAGGCGGCAGAGGGAAGAGGAAGAGAGGTGATGGAGAAGAAGATGATGACATGGAGGATTCAAGGGGAGTTAGGAAAAGGGTGCAGGGAAAGAAGAATGGAGGTGGAGGTAAGGGTAAAGGTAAAGGAAAAGGGAGAAATAAATAAATGGAAACAGTTATGTATTTTTGA